TCATCCATTCCTTATCCCAATTATTTGGAGTCGGCTACACAAATCATGTTCCGCTATTCTACTCTATCAAGAACCATACCCTCAGTCAGACCATAAGTCACCATATCTCTTCACACTACTTTCATCCACGTCCTTTTAAGCCTTCCCCTTGTCCTTTTAGAGCCTTCCACTTGAACCAAATCGCTCCTCATAACCAGCGTTGTATTAGGTCTATACTGCACATGGCCAGCCCACCTAGGTTTATTTTCCCTCATCTTATAGCCTATTGAAGCTACCCCAAAGTTCTCTCATAAGTATTCATTCTGAGTTCTATCATTTCTTGTCTTAGCACTCATCCATCTCAAAATCCTCATCTCAGCTATACTCATCCTATAGATATGTTTCTCTGGACCATCCAACATTCTGTCCTTAAGCATGACTAGTCCTACAACGGTCCTATAAAACATCCCCTTTAGTTTCTTTCATCGGTATGCAGCAATTACACAAAACACCATATGCACATCTCCACTCCCCCACCCAACTCTAATTTTATGCGCAACATCTTCCTCAATCTCTCCATTCTCCTGGACTATCAACCTAAGATATCAAAAGCTATATATATATAAGAAATTTGCTCAAGTTTCTCTGATTCTAACGTGGTATTAGAGCTAGACTTCAATCAAAACTCTAATCGGTTTGTCATCAATAGATCTCTAATCCATTACACTTCATTAGTCCTCATGGAGATTCAGTATTTGCAATCGAATAAAAAATCTTTGTTTTGGATTCAAAGCCCTAGATCTATGATCAGCATTAGGAAGACCAATTTTGCACTACAATCTAGATACAACGCATCACTGCAAAAGTACCATAGCAATACTGCAGGAGTCTGTACAATCCCTATCATCACCTAAAACACTTGATTATTTTTTAGGGATTTCTCTTTTGCTCCCGAGTCCAAGAAAATATTATGTTGGGAAGTGGAAGATGTTTCGCAAATACTTAGGGTTTTGCAAACCAATTCATACTTTCTAAGACACACGACTACAAATCAATTATTTCGGTGGTTCAAGGCATCAATAAAGTGAGTTTTTGCATCTGTTCTAGACTCTTTTGCTTGTGAACCATGGAATAGTATGAAATTCCTGCCATTAGTATTGAGATTCCTTTTCGCATGTGCACCATTCTCAGTTGCTAGAACCCCAGAATCTGTTGCCCTTGGGACTCTATCAAGGAGGCACTTCAGTGTGTACGTTCAGGCCCGCCCTTATCAGAACTATCAAGCATTTTTGGTCTCGCTGTTTCCTTGACTCTCGTGCAACTAGTCATATAACTGAGAATGTCAAATTTCTATTCCCCCTTTGCACTGCTAATGGTTGTAAACTAAGAATTAGCAGAGTAGGCGCAGTTAATACTCATTTGTTCAAGAAGTCCAAAGTGCTGTTTGTTCCTCATTTAATCATGAATTTGTCATCTATTCATTAGTTAGTTGATCAAAACTGTTCAGTTTTGTATATTCAGTATGTTTGCCTAATGAAGGAAATCCTGACAAGGAAGCCAATTAGGAAAGGTCATAACGTAGGTCAAGTCTTTTGCCTAAATTCATTATTGGAGCTTGTTAGCAGTTGCAGATGTGTGACCTCTGTCTCTCCATACATGGCAACTCTAGCATAGCATCTAGGTCATCTTGGTTCTGAGAGGCTCAAGAAGTTGTTTCAGTTTGGAGCTATCCCTTCTTCATGCAATTTTCCTAAGAGTTACAATGATGAACTACAGAAATATAAGTGTAAGCTAGCTGGCCAAATTATCAGCATTGCCTTTTCCTATCTCTGAAAGTACAATTAAATATCTGATCTTGTCCACTCTGATACGTAGGCCCTTCTTGTGTTGTGTTCTTTGTGGATTATCTCTCGTCATACTTGGGTATATTTCCTGAATACGAATCTGATGTCTATCATGCATTTGTTACCTTTAGCAATATGATTCAAATAAAATTTGGAAGGAAAATTAAGGTTCATAGAGCAAACTCTGGTGGTGAATACCCATCCAAGAAGTTTTAAGATTTTTCAAGTCATAAGAAAATTAAGATTCGCAGGGAAAACTCTGGTGGTGAATACTCATCCAAGAAGTTTTAAGATTTTTCAAGTCATAAAGATATACCTCTAGCATTTTATTATGTCATCTACATGCTCTTCATATTCATTAAACAATGCCAGGAGTAGCATAAAAAGAAAAAGAAAAGATTTGACCTGCGCAGCGTAAGGAGTAATAATGCCGATATCCAATGCATGGACACCACTCTCAATTAGTCTCCTTGCATGGGCTAAGGCAACTGCAGCCTCTCCTTCATTCAATGTGCTGTCTTCTTCATCCTTTTTCTCTTCCATATCACATCTGAAATGGACCTAAATTCATCCTATGAAGTAATAATTGACAATCCCAAAACACGTGCAATACCCAACAACCTCAAGATCTTAGGCCTAGAGATTGCTCTCGCTTGGATTCTATGAATTCAATAAATATGTGAGTGTGTATAGTGTATAACTAAATTCATTCATCACTTGAATAATTGGGTAAAATTTCCTGTGACCAGTTTATTCATTCACATCATTGGGTGATAATGGCGATAAATGACTTTTTGTGATAAAGAACTTTAAAGATACATAACATGCATGGTATTGATACTTGTAGTAGGAACACCTGGGGAAAAAGAAAATATACATAAATGCAAAGAAGGGGCCCAGATGAAGTTGGAACATCTTGGTGTTTCACTCATTTACTTTAGTGACTTTGAAGTGCACTATATTCACCCAAGTGGATAATTAAGCTCGAAATAAAATACAACATAAGAAAGAACAAAAGTGGAGATCACAACAAGCCCTAGTGTGATGCAAAAGCACTATGGCACTGGATCACATTCCCAGAAACAGTATGCTTGTTTAAGGGCCGTAGGTGGTCATAGGTAGTTGTCTAAGAAGTTTCCACACAAAATCCCAACCAACCTAGCAGGTAAAGTGAACAGCTATGGCTTCATGTTGACCAAGGACATGCTCCCCTGTAATTTCAAAGCAAGGGGTTTGACAAAGCACCAAGCAAAATTGTTCACAATACTCTCACAAAAATGTATATGGCCGCCAAAACCTCAGAATGATGTAGCCTCATTAAACTAGATGTCTCAAAAACCTGATCATTCTTAGCTGTTAAACATGCGATTCAAGTAACCTAGGGGACAAGAGTCAAGACCAACAACTTGAAAGTTCAAATTGATTATAAGGTTTCATCCGTTTGAGTTATTAAGGCCTACATAAGGCAACTCTGACTCTCTGAGCAATTATGTAGGTGGTCATCTGTGATATCAAGTGAAGAAACTTCAGCAAAATAAGTTACTGTACATTTCATAGCACAAGAAGAAGTATTTCAAGTTATAAGCGTGCAGGCACAAAAGTATTTTGATACTGTGCTGAATGTCAAGTGAAAAATCTTAAGGATAACAGGTTGCTGAACATTTCAAAGCACAAGAAAAAGCAATCTAAATTATAAGCTCGTGGGGCATGAAAGAAAATTTGCTAAGTACGGCGTGTTTGCTGAACTCCAAAATTACATGGGAAGAGAAGAATATACCCGGCAGTATCTATCAAAAGGAGGGTTGGTTGAGTTGAAGATGTCCTCTGCACATCGTCTAGATCATAAAGCATATGGCCAGCAACACTTGGGTGAGCTTCTATCTGCATGGTGAGTTATTCATCAATAATAATTTTGTAATCCTGACCAACTCACAAAGATCTCAGTCTTACACCAATTCGAAAGCATTTTCTTAATTCGAGCATCTAATTCCAGCATCAATGACTAATCAAGCAGATTCAAGCTGAAACTCTATAATGTGCCACACACTCTGACAATAGCTGCAGGTGGAACTGTGGAAATTTCTCCATACTTAGTTATTCACCAATTATGGCAAAACTTTTGGGGGTTTCAATAGCTACAACAATAAACACCCATGCATTTCAAGAATGAGATCACCCTATTGGCCACAAAATTGATTTTCTGCAAAATTGATCTTAGTCACATTAATTCTAAGCTAATAAGCTTTAAGGGGAATAAAGACAAGGCAAAAAATAGGCAACTTCCTCCCACATAGAAGTTTAAACAGAGAGTTTTTATTTCTTTCAATGTTGCAAATGTTTATTCTGTATTGCAATCTACAGTAAGTTCATACACATCATGTATTGCAATCAAGCACCTTACTGTCATAGAGCTCTGCAGATGACCAATCCATTATTAGCTTGTGCATGCGGTATTGGACGGTGAGCATGGCTGTAATTTCTTCTCCATATAGGTCTGCCAGGCGCTCAAAAAGGGTTCTTCCTAATCCTTTTTTTTCAGCTTCAGCACTCTGAATTGTTGGAGGAAGTTGAAGGTGGTCGCCTGCAAGTATGCATCTTGAACCCTGTAAAAGGTTCATGGATAGTGAAGCCACACCAAGTATTGAGGCTTCCTCAACAAGAAATAGAAAACACAAGCAAAAAATGAAGACATGAAACAGAATCCGAGAAATAAAGTAGTATCAGTGCTTAAGATGGGAAAATGACGAGCAACTTCAACCAATAAATAGAGGAAGAAATGAACACTACAGAAAACATAGTCTGGAAAGAACTGGAGCCAATCATAGATTGAATTCATATTGGCGTGTTCAAATGGATAACACCACACCATCCTAGTCACACAACTGAGCCAATCAAGCCAGACTAATTACTCCTTTAAAAACTACCTGTCTATATATAGGAAAATACTTACAAACACTCATGAGCAAATTTCTCCAGTATTTCTGTTCATGGCTCATTACCATCTAAAGTCCATCATATGGTCACAATTGTCTGATAGTGTTTAAATTTTAATAATTTTCTACGAATCAAATTGACCTGAAATTTGGAGCATGTGTACATATAACCAACTCGCACTTAAATAAAGCAATGTTTCAAAAATTGGCAACCCGATCCTAAATCGGGCAATCCAGATTGGGTATCACCCAACACATTCCGATTTCAGTGAAAAAACGGGATTCGCCACCACCCACATCATAAAGCCAAGTCACTACAGTGAGCATGCTTTTTGAATTAGCTTTCTTATAAAATTATCCTAGTGGGCCCCACCCAACCACCCACCTGCCGCATTTGAATCACGCTTACCTCATCGGTTAAAAGACCCTACTCTCATATCGTGCTCACCTCAAAGGCATCTTTATGTTAATGATGACGTTGAGGTCACCTTTTATGGTGGCATTCTCTCTCCAAATCTTGGATATGGGATTACTTTTAGCTTTCTAGATAAGTTCGTCATTGCATATCAAATGGGAGTGGCATGTAATTGGGTAAAAACTTAGGAAGCTCTTTCATTGGATGCCCAACGGTAGTTGTTTTGCACCTTAGGAAGCTATCACTCTCTTACTTAGATTTGTCTACATGAAATAATCAACAAAATAAAATTTTTTAAGATTAATAATATTTATTCCTTTTTTTTATAATGCACAAAAAATAAAAGTACATATACTTAAAGTTTTAATTGCATATAATTACATAAAGAAATTCTATTTAATTCATTTACAAAAATTAGTACAACTATCTTGAAAGTCGTATTGTTTATTTATCTTAATAACTTGTTAAACTTATGTCAGTATAATCACATGAATATGATCACATTAAAATTTATAGGGGATTTATTTTGTTTTTAATCATATGATATGGAATCATTTTCTAATATTTTTAATAATGTTTATTATTATATTATAATTAACAATTATACATTGATAACCAAATCTTGTATTTTATTTATTAATTTATTTATATTATAAATTTTGTAATATATTATTTTGTCTTATAAATGCAAATAAGACTTTTTAAATTAGATGATCTTATAAGACATTTTAGATTTTTTTATTTGTATAATAAAATAATTATAAAATATAAAGTTATAAACCAACAACTTCAATGTCAATATCTACTATTATACTTAGTTAGGTTGTAATAATTTTGGATGAGTAAAACGAAATAATAAATGTTTGATACTTTGACGTGATACTAATTTCACTTTATGTGTATAGTAAAATGATGATAAAATAATAAAATACAAACCAATAATTCTAATTTCAATCTATAATATTGTATTTAGTTAGGTTTTAATAAATGTTTGATGAGAATCTTCATACAAGGAAAGAACATCTCAATATTCGCTTATTGATGAAAAAAAATAAACGTTATTAATTTAGTACCCTCATTTCTTCTTAGATTATTAAAAAACAACATTTATAATGACTTTTAATAATTTTTTTGAATGTTTTTTAAGGCCGAATCCAACCGATTCGGTCGATTCCCGATCAGAAACACCGATCCGGATGGGCTTTTTGGGTGCCCAATCCGTGGCACCGATCAGTTTAAAATTAAAAATAATCCTCAAAAAATAAATTGCAAAAATACCTCTGAAATATTCGAAGGGGTAATTCAGTTATGTTTATTTAAATTATTCTTTATATTTTATTTTGGTGCACCTCACTAAGACACACCGACAAAATTTCAGGTCAAATCGGATTTGTAGAAAGACTAGTAAAATTCAAACACTATCAGACAATTGTGACAGTCTAATGGACTTTGGATGGTGATGAGCCATGAGCGAAATATTGTATAAATTTGCTCATCAATGAAATTTTCGCACGTGTGTGTGTGTGTGTAGCTACCATCAAGTTGAACTTAATCATTCAATTTTCACAGGTCAAAATGAAGGGTAAATAATATAAACATTTACCAAGATCAAAAAATTAAACAATTAAGGAAAGTCCCCAAAAGCAAAAATTAGCAGATGATAGATAACCTCTGCTATAATGCCCATTCGCATGATTCAAAACAATCTTTACTAAGGAAAATGATCATTCTTAGCTCTGATTGATGGATGCATGATTGTAAGTGCCCTTCGCATGTCAACTCTAGGAGGATATCGATGCATTTGTCACAAATTAGGACATAAGGTCATTGAAACTCTTTTTGTTACTTGGTCCCCAGTTTGGTGACAATTGTTTGTTAGCTAGGTAAAATCCCAAGGGATGTCAAGAAAAATCCCATTGATGGTAGTAAAGAGAATAGACATGAATAATATACATGAAAATGGTAAAAATAAGGGCTGTGGGGCTCCTTTAAACAAAATGATAATGCTGACCTTGCTTTAAAAAGAAAAATAATCAGTATTGCCCTTATCCTCTTTTAAAATAATGAATATGACCCATGAAGTTCTAGAAAACCATGAAGAGTAGTATTGCCACAGTATTTACCAAGCCACATGTACTGAACCTCCTGGTTCACATAAAGCGAATTCATAGAAAGAAGATTTGCATCTATGCACACATATTTCTCACAGTCAATATTGGACTAATGCTTCTGTATATGCATTTGTATCATTCCCTTTCATATCCAAGGATAACATTTGCATTGCTCACTTGCATGAATTATGGGTAATCTTTCTTTGCAAACATGCATATGCAGAGGCTAATGCCTCATCAATACATGTTTAAGTGCAACACCAAATGAGATTCAAGGATTTACATTCTATAAATAGAGACGGAGTAACTCTTAGTAGAGTATGTTTGTAGTTGGATTGCATAATTTTCATTTATTTGCAATGATCTTCAAGGCAGATAGGAGGTCCAACTGTAAACCCATTAGGAGTACCCTCTTTTCCTGCTCGTACTTTTCTCTTCATTTTTTTTTAATAATGTTAACCTTTAATAGATGAAAATGGGAGAAGTACAAAAGGCTTTGGCGATCCACAGAGGAGGATGCTCGAGGAAATTGAGAACCAAAAAAGAAGAATCAAGTCCTTTTTTAGGAGGTTACAATGGAACAAAGCAACCTAACAAAATAGGTTGATTTGAAGAACAAGACTAAGAACTGTCCAAAAAAGATAAAAACCCAAAAAATTGTCAGTTTTTCGCCATCTGTACTGCTTCTTTGGTGAGCGTATCAGCATCTTTGTTTCCTTCCCTCCATGTATGCATCCACTCGACGAACATATTCCTGTAGAGGTGATCAATCTCATCAAACACATGTGAAAAGACCCAAGGGGAGGAGAGAGATTTTTTGAGCCCAAGCAATAGTGTTATTGGAGTCTCCCTCCACCACTATAGAATGTAAGTGGAGAGGGTCTATGAGCTTTAGGCCTTCCAACAGAGCTAGCGCTTCAGCTTCCATGGAATTAGTTTGGCCGATGAATTTGGAGACAGTGGTCAGAGTGGAGCCTAGGTCGTCTCTAAGGATGGCTCCTACTCCTGATGGACCAGGGTTCCCAATAGAGCATCCATCGAAATTTAGTTTGAGATGTCGTATTGGTGGGGGTTTCCACCTAGTGGTCCTTGGCAAATGCACTTGATGTGTTTGAAGGACATTGTGCCAATCGTGGCTGAACATCGAGGATGGAATTCCTCTGTAATAGCAGTGATTGGTAGCCCAAAAGATAATGGAGGACTTGAGCTTGTCAAAGACTTTGGTCCAAGGGCAATAATCCCCCCCGGAAAGTACTGTTGTTTCGCTTGATCCATATGGCCCATAATGCGGCTGCCACCAAGGATCTCCAGGGAAGTATCCCCGCTTTAGTCCAAGGATAAGGTTTAATGGCTGAGAGGATGGATGTTACCTCTGCCGGTGAAACCCACTGAACATTGAAGAGTTAAAGAATTGCCCCCCATATGTTCAAGGCAAATGGACAATGCAGCAGTAGGTGGTTGTTTGTTTCCTCAACAGTTAGGCACATGACATATCGAGTAGGGATTGGGATGCCCCTTCTCAGCAATTGATCCGCTGTGAGGACTCTTTGGGAGAGAGCCAGCCACATGAATATCTTGATTTTTGGGGGGGCAAAGGAGTCCCAGGCTTGAGCAGCAGTAGCGGCAGGAGCTACGGGAAGCGTTAGAGGTAGAGAGAGGCTTTTATAGAAGGATGACACTGTGAAGAGTCCAGAAGGTGCACATGTCCAAATGATATGATCTGGACCTGTGGGTGCTAAGAAGGTGGATTGAAGTTCTGCTGCCAAAGTTGTGAAGCTTGCTATCTCGTAGTCGTTAAGAGCCCTACTTTTCTCTTAATAGAAGGTGACAATACATTTCTATTTTTATATAAAGTGCATTTGTACAAAATGGCCATGAGGTGCAGGATAAGTGATGTAGAGACAACTTGAAGAAACTAAGAAAATCAGCAAGAAGCACACAATTTTGGAGAAGCCCTGAGGTTTTCTCCCACTTAGGGCTCAAACCTTAAGACCAAGTCTTTCTTTTCTTAAAGAGGAATACATGAATGATTATCCAGCCCATCCATACCCTTATTTATAATTAAAAATAATTGTTTTGGACAAAATTTTTCCATACAAATTAACTATTGACCAAAAGCTCCTAACTTAAATATAAATTGAAACTAAACTCCTTGACTTTAATTAAAATATCTAAAAAATCCCTAACTGGTCCAGGAATGAAATAAATAAGTAAATAACATCTTAAATAACCTTAAAGAACTAAAAAAACACCAAAACTATTTCTTGCTCTTCTTGTTCTTCTTGGAAGCCCTCCTAGGGTTTTCCATCCTCCAAATGTGCGCAAAAATTAGGAGGAATTTGTCGCTCTGAAAAAAGATACTCGTGGCTACTTTTGCTCTGAACTCCATCAATAAGGTGGCCACAGGTTAGCTGCTCTACAAGAATTGGGGGAGGGATTCCCATAAACTTGTGTGCTAGAGAAGGAGGAGAGAGAGAGAGAGAGAGAGAGAGGAGCGAAGTAGAGAATAAATAGAAAACGAAAGAGGAGTTACAAACGAATATATAGGGGGAGTAAAGTGGAGAGAATAGATGTGAGAGAGAGAGAGAGGAGTGGGAAGAGAATAGATAGGGGAGTGAAGTGGAGAGAGAGGGAAAAAGGGTGGGGAAGAAAGAGATAGAGAAAGATGGATAAAAAGATAGAGGATAGAGAGAAGGGCGAGAGAGATATAGAGAGATTGAGAGAGAGAAAGAGAGAATTAAAGAGATAGATATAGAGAGAAACTATGGAGAGTGGTGCAGGGGAGAGAGATGAAGAGGAATAGTGGGAGATATTATAACCTTTGATCCTTTCTGACATTAAAACCTTTGATCCTTCCTTCAAACTTTACAACCTTTGATCGTTTCAGACTGGTTTTGAGATTGATGTTATGCTCTAGGTTTATTGCCTTTGCCATTATTGAGTGAATTATCTTGACATCCCTCAGAATCCACAGAACAACAATAGTGTGACCTCTATATGCTTTGCTCTATCAAGAAACACAAAAACACCAATCCAAAGGGTACTTTTAATTTCAATGAACTAATCTATAGGTTTTGATACTTAGACTCTTAACCATTTCATGAGATTCTTAGTAGCAACTGGTTTGTAGCGATAGTGCCCATGACTCCATATTTGGTCTTGACTTAACAAAGATATAGCAACAATGATCGATACTTTTATTATTTGTTTGATCAGCGAACGATGGTCAAGCAACTGAAAAGAGAAACCAGTAAAGCATGACCTTTTGGCTTGATATGCTGCAGTCAGTTCCCAATAGACATTTTTTTCAACTGACTATCCAATAGAAACATCAATATTTTGTTTCTTAAATCCTGCATAAATTGGTGAATATATTGACTGCATTCTTAAAATATCATCAGGCGAAAGTGATATTGATCCCGTCCAAAAAAGAAAGATACCTGAGAGCACTAACTAGCCTATTAATCTATGCTACCATGATTACATCCACATATGGTTCACCAAAATCTAAAATTATTTCTATGGGACATCACAAGGCTTTTCTGCCTGATTTTATTTCTTATAAAGAATCCAAATCGATAACAAAATTTATTATTTCTAGGCGGCTCAGGTAATCCAAGAAGCCAGTCAATGAAATGAGAAGATGTATAGAGTAAAAATAAGGGGGAAAAAAAATCATAACTCAGAATCTACAACGGATTTTTTTCCCCTATAAAAGAGCTTAATATAAATATAAATTGCCTCAAAGCATATTATAACCATGAGATCGATTTCAAATAGAAACCGAATGGTACACTAGAAATGTTGCATAAACGAACATATATCCGAGAATAGTTCAGTAGTGTCTTTGCAAAGATGTCATATTTCTTTTCCAGGTCTATGCGTTTAATGGGACTGATGTGTTGAGGAAGGAAAAGTTAAAGATGGATAATCCGAATTGGGTGTAAGTAGGTATAGGTCGGGGTCATCGAATTTCTTTCCTTCTTTTTTTTTTGGTTGTGGTTGTTTGTTTTCTTTGGGGCGCAGAAGAAAGTGGGGGTTTTTGTGGTGAGTGGTAGGAGAAGTTGGGGATCGCAGGATTTTTGGCTATCACAAGAAGGCCATTGTGTAGATATAAAAATCACTTTGCTCTTCTTTGAAACAATTTTCATTTTTGCTATTTTTTAACGAAATTATTAATCATCACATAAAATGGAAAGGGACAACTTACATCCATAGAGAAAATGGTATAAACCTCAGTTTAAACAACCCTGAATGAGAAAATGAGAGCAACATTTATTTATATCAAGTGTTAGATTGCACTTTGACCATAAAAAAATGCTCACTGATCACTAAGACAAGGGCCTCTTCTCTCAAGATAGTCCATCTTGCAAGTAAGTGTGAAATAGCAATATACTCGTAGGAAATGGAGAAGGAAGATCAGCACACCTTTAAAAGAGCAATCCAGCAGGCTACCTCAAGTGCCTGGGCAGCTTCATCAATAATCACTAAATCAAAAGTAGTACTCTCCAATTTTTGAGAAAGTGCCCCAGTCAAAGTTGTCAGAACCACATCAGAGTTTTTCAACACATCCACTACCGCTAGTTGCTGCCGTTTACGCTCTTCTTTTGCAAGGCTCCTGAGTTCTTTCCTGATGTCCCTTTTCAAGTTCCTATCTTTGGTTTTCAATAGCTTCCCACTCATAACCTGAATGAAAATGAATATGAATCAAATCAGTCAAGTGCATGCATATTACAGCATCAAACCTGTCAACTCACATTCAGGTACTTGTTTGGCAAATACACATGAGTAGCTCCAGTTAGGAGGGCAATCAATCATCAATAGGGGACTCTAGTGAAGGCAATACAATGTTTTAAACATAAATTGCTGGTTTGAGAGCTCTGATGAAAACTTAATGCAAAAATAAGTACCTTGAAAACCAATTGCATATCATACATTACCTTCATTTCTTTCCGAATGTCATTTGCAAGAGCGCTATGATCTCCCCGCAAGATCTAAAAGAAAATTGACAATTTCAAACAATGGCATAAAGCAAATAGTAGTGAGAACTACAGTGTTCAAGTAATTACAGATCTAACACAACAACAGCTATATAAATCATGCCATACATGTATGCACCAACAAAAATGATTGCAAACAAACCCTATGTCACCATACTGTCAAACAAACACATATATCTAAATATGCAGGGATGTGCAAATCCATCTACGCATCTACAAATATGCGTGGGTTTCTTAAAGTGTACAAACATACAACTATAAAAATAAAATCAAATAAAAACAAGCAAATTTCATGTAGTACAGGTCACAAGTTAAACCAGAAAGAAGCCTCTCTCATGCAATCTCTGTATACTCAGAAGCACAGAAGTCCAATCAGAAAAGAAATATACCAGTAGAAACTACAATGCATGTGATAAAGAATTCATATTCCAGTCCATGCACTTTTACTTATGACTGGAGTGATTACCACTCTCCTTTTAATTGAGGAAAGTGTTGCTTCCATGAGCAACAAAGCGACAAAGTTCTAATGATCAAGACTACTATAATGTCTCAAGGTATTCCTTAGCTGTTGATACCTGTGCATCAAGAGCACTCTCCAGAACTTGAGGAAGTAACCTTGCAGGATGCCCCAATCTCACCAACTTTACTCTAAGAATAGGAAAATTCCAACACACAAAAGTCAATATTCAACACCCACTTAAAAAACAAAAAAACTAGAAGAAAAATAACACCTATTGAAATGCTACATCAGCAAGATCAGTGTTCTAGCACACAAGAAACCATCCAAAGTAAAGAGACCATATAATCCAAAAAGGCATAACCTGAGGCAGGTATTCCATGCTATATGAACTTTTTGCAGAAGTTAATAACAAGAGCAATTACTGTCAAATAAAACATACCTAGCCTTCTGATTATTTTTTTTTAAAACAGATCCTAACAAGTCAAACAAACTCTTTTCAGTTTTTTCCTATGTTTATTCTAGACACATGGTTGCACTATTGTACTACAAGCAATAAAGGTTCCTCAGTGGCCATCAAATAGAAAAATAGTTCAGTAGGGGAGAGCTACAATGAACTCCATCCTCGAGGTTAAATGTACAATGCATACAGTGAGAAAGAGAAATGGTGATGCCATGCTTGAAGCTCCGATACCATCATTGAAAGTAATGGGCCACTTATTTTTATACTTAATAATTCTTTTTTATTATAGAAAATATAAAGCCCTAAGACATCAAAAGAAAAGAAACAATTGGAAAACATAGACCATAGTAATATTACACACATTTTACACACTCATGGAAATCTCTTACACTGTGCACCATAAGACTAAACAAACCTAGGAATTGCAAATCCTAAAGATCATCCCTAATCCATAACTTCCTAAAGCCTATCCATCCACACTCACCATCCCTAATCCTAATGACACTCTAAACTCTATACCCACATGTATATAACACAAACCACAAAAATCTTATAAAATGCATCAAACACAAGAATAGAGGCACATGACTAACATCTCATAAGAAATCTTTTTGTTTTTAAAGATACAGATGTAAAAGGAAGTTAGAGTAACAAGTTATACCTATAAGGGAAAAGTCGTTCAACGATGTTGTCTACAGCAATATTGGAAGCCGCACATGCAAGAATTTTGGACCCACGTTTCACTTCTTGTAAGATTATTTCAACAACAGTTGTCGTCTTTCCAGTTCCCGGAGGTCCGTGCAGCAGAAATATATCTTGTGATGACAAGGCCTTCACAATGGCATTTTTCTAGCACAAAATAGGAACACTCAGAATAGGAAATAAAAAGAAACTAAGGGGTAGGTCAGCTACTTTGGTTTTGTGAGGCAAACTTCTAAACAATGCTTAAGATTACAGTTTCGGCAGCCTAGGTGTCCAGGGATCTTGGCCACCTAGGTGGTGCTTCTAGGAGGGTACTTGTGTTCGAGCGCTCCCAATTACCCAACCCCCCCCCCCCCCAAACAAACCCCGGGGGTTTGGTTGCAATTGTTTGGGGCCTACCAAACCCCCTTAATTGAACTTATGGAATATGTAATGGAAAAAGCTATTTGTAAGGTGTTTTGTGTGTGTTATTAAGATGTACTATTTCAAACACATACAAATATGAGTTTGAAACTTGAAATTGAATTACTAAAACTTAATAAGATTAAAACTTGCATGACTTGAAAGTCGAACTTAAAATACAATAAATTAACAAGTACTTCAAAGTTTAGACTAAATTATACCAAATTATATTAACTCAAATTTCAAATTGAGTTACATCATCATTACCACCACCATCACCAAGGACACTACTGTCTCCATCCCCATGATCACCACCACTATATCTGATGATGCCACGGCAATATCATCAGAGTCATACCCTTCCTCAACTTGTCATGTTTCTTCCTTGGTCACCTCCAAGTTAGCCTCCTCCTTCTCCTCCTCCTCCTCCTCCTCCTCCTCCTCCTCCCTTACTATTTTCTTGCTTTACCTTCTAGATTCAGATCTAGTGGCCACGAATGGCTCATTGGGCTTCCAACAGCCTCATGAACTTGGCCCCAGCTCAAACTCTCTAAAGGGTAAACTGCATCTTTTCTAGTATTGACCAATTGGGGTGGCAATGGACCTGGACCCGACTCGGGATTCAATGAGTAGACCCGATCTGGGTCCGAGTATGGGTCCAAAAATTGGACTCGGTGGGTAGTCCAGGTCAAGGTCTCATAATATTTTTTTGGGCTTCAAATTAGAAAATATATTTCAACATAGCTAAATACATAGATATTTTAATTTTTGGGTCGGGTTTGATCAGGTCTGGTGGGCTCCGGGCCCATGTCTAGGTCCCACACTATATTTTGGGGTCCGAATCCGGGTCTACCCCTATTGACCAATCACTCATCCATTAGTATCACAGAAAATGGGGTGTTTGATGGCACTCCTGAATGATAGTGCTCTTCTGCCCCTGATTGTACTGAACATAAACAAGATAGTTCAGTCTCTTCTGCTCAAGCTTTTTTCTCTTGTTTGTGTGTATCCTTTTGAATAATGCATAAATGCATGATTATACAAGTTAGGGGCTTAGGGATGCCCTAATAGGGCATATGAGGAGTCGTATGACTTAGGAGAAGTAGGAGTGTTGGACAAATGGACAAGTGCGTCAAGAGATTATCATCTCGAATGTGCTAAGTTGTGCTCGCAACTAGATGAGCTACAGGGCAAATTGAAAATGCTAAGGGCCATCTTCTGCAAGTGCTTGACGCTGCACCCCATGAAACCACATTACATAAAAATCACTAGAGTATATCAGTATACTTACAAAATTGAATTAAGAACACAAATCACAAATTCATGAAAAAATACTTTTTGTACTTGTATGGATAGATTTTGTTCTTGTGCTTTACTGATACAACTGTGCCTAATGACTCTGTTGAGAATCTCTACTTATCCAGCTCAAATGTCACTTGGGCCGGGACTTCCACATTAGCAATAAGGAGAGTTGAGATGATACCTAAAGCATGCAAGGGCATATGCAGCTGGTATTCCACTTATCATCCACAATCTTCATAATCAGAGAATATTTTCTTTCATCATAGGAAAAGTTCTTCTGAATATATCCTAGACAACCACCATTGCCTTAAAATATGACCCATTAGTAGTTCCTTCTCACTATCCAACAAGCGCAATACCCTTTACCAATGGTTCAAATGCTTGGAGGGAGTAGGCAACCCCATTGCAAAACTGCTATTGCTAAAAAATATCAGCTGCTCTCTTCCCCTTACCATGCTTAGACCACTTGCTTTTGGTCCATTCCTCAGAGACAAGCACGACCTTAAGCTTGTCTTTCTGGAACTACAATGAAAAATAGAAAATAGCAAATCTACTCAACCCTGTCCTCACCAACTCCCTCTTTTTTGTAAACTTCCTCATCATGGCCAAGACTTGGGTGTTGTTGAATATAAAAGCAGTGACAACTCTTGCTTTCCTAATTGTTCTGTCCACCACTTTAAACATTCTTATTGCCTCAAGCATGAAGTCAATGTAGTGAGCCACATTGGATGTCTAAAAACATTGCAGCCTCTAGAAGTGGGAATGGCTCAGGTCGGGTCAGGTGCGGGTCTATAAATAAAAAATGTATTTTACATTATATACTTAATAGTACTAGAATGTATTTATACTAATGTACACCAGGGCGGGGTGAGGCGGGTCAAGCTCACCCTGACCAGGCCCAATATTATCTAAGCCGGACCCAGACCCAACCTGGGTCGGGTCAAGGTCAGGTGGACCCAGATATGACCAATCAGGTCCAAGATCTGGGTCCAGACCTGGACCCAGTCAAGTTGACCAATCAGGTCCACTAGTAAACCTGACCCAATTCCCACCCTAGCAGCCTCGTCTCCAAAAATAGATTAGCAGCAGCTGCCATATGGGCTGCAGCGTACTTGTAACTACTTGAATAGTATATTGTTCACCCACCTCCTCTATATACACTAATCTACTAAACTAATAAAAAACTGTGAATCATAAGTCTGCTCTAAGCATCAATTGACTTCACAAACATTGTCCCCATTGGAAAATTCACCAAAAAGTTCATGATATTTCTTCCATGCCTACCAGTCCATATGTTTGTCATTAATGCAACCCCATTACTTCCCCCATGCATCCTTATGGGTCTTCAAGTACTTATTTGTGAGCTTCAACTCTTGTTTTAGTAGGGGCCCCTTGAGCTCATAATGTATAGGAGCCTTCAACCCTGGCCCAAACAGCTTCCAACATAGCATGGAAGCAATTCAAGGTAGTGGCATTAAAAGGAAAGCTTGCTCAATACATCCATCTGGTACTAATCTATCCAACACATATCCTCTGTCAAAAGGCAGCTCTCTATAGCATTATGCTTCTTTCTCGAACCACAACCTCAAGTTCAAGGGATATAGGCACCTTTGCTGAGGCTTCCTCTACCCAAACCCCCTTTGCCTAGTACTAGACCCCACAAGCACCCCTTCCTCAGCATATAAATATAATTCTTTTTTTTTACCCATAAACATTCACTGATCTTTCATTGTCCTCACAATTTTTTCTTCCCCTTCTTCTTTCAACCTGCCTCTAGGCCTTCTTCTTTCAACCTGCCTCTAGGCCAACATCTCTCTCTTAACTTCAGGAGACACCGATTTCATAGGGACTACATTCCTTCCATTGTCAGCCAGATGTTTGTTTCTATGATTTATGCCGGCATTATAAATTCCTTGACAAAATTCACATTGCATCCAATTATTGTCACTTTGATTAGCCAATATTGCAATTTCCAGCCAGGATCAACCTGTTTATTTGCACCAGAAGAAACATTGTTACCAACTCAACAAACAACCTGGTACAACCAACCAGACTTAAAAATACAAAAAGCCACCACAACCCAATCTTGAATACATAATACTTTAAGTCAATTAAGCGACAAGCCAAACTTGAGAATTGAATAAAGCAATCCAACATAGAAAATGTTGTCCAGAAAACCCTAACCCTAATCCATAGAAAAATATTGAGTAATTTACAAAATCAAAACTAGAAAAAGTCTTTTACAAAATCAAAACCAGAAAAAGTCCTCAACAAAAACCCAAATATCGAAAAAAAAGTCACTAAACCATAACTGAAAATCGATAAAAGAATTAAACAGGGGCAATAAAGCAGAAAAAATATAACAAAAGCTAAGATATCCATAAACTCAAACCCAAGCACAATATTTAAAAGAGGAAACAAATCCACACCCAAACTTCAAAAAAAAAAAAAAAAAACAAAACAGAGAGAGTGAGGAAAAGAAACAAATCCAAACCCCAAAGTAAATTATATCACCAAACCCTAAACTTGGAATTGAAATCCACTGACCTTTTGAAACCCATAAAAATAGACTCAAATCAACAAGTTTTGGTTGCCAAAAAAATTTGCATTTGAATTTTTTTAATCTCTGTTTTCTTTTCTAGCAAGTAGGGTTAGGAGGGTTTGAATGCCCCCCAAAACCCTGTTACACCCTTTTAGGTCATTTTTTTTTGGGCAGGGGGGGTAAAAATCCAAATGCCCTCCCTTGAAGGCCATATTCCGCCCTTAGGCAGGGGGCATCAAGGTGCCCACCACGGCTCATAAAGTGGGCCAAGGCACTAGGCGGGTGCCTAGATAAAGCCTTGGCCAAAAAGGTAGATATCTTTTGTATGGCACCATCCTATGTGGACGTCTGCCACTAGGTGAGGCACCCAAGGCCTTGGCCCGCCTCAAGGCAGGCCAAATTTCTAAACATCGGTTCTCAAAGTTCGAACCCTTGACCTCCATCAACCAAACCTGGAAGTTACCATTAAGTAGAAAGCATAAGGGATGAAACAAAGAGAAACATGGAAAGGGACCAACCAACTTAGGGAATGCGGCATCCCATAGATGATCAAAATAAAAAAATCAGAGAGGGACCAACCAACAAGTCAAGGGAGCATGTGCGTGCGCACACAAACTCAAAAAAGCACACACAAATGCATGAACAGACATACATAGAAGTGTGTGGGGCATATATTATCGAATGAACAATCTATGCTACACAATAGGCTTGATGGCCCGAACTCACCAATCTGGACAGCACAAGTTTACTGCAAGAGCCAAGGGCATTTTCATCCTTTTTTATTGAGTATGTTATATTGTCTATATATATATATATATATATGGGTTATGTTAGGGTATTCACACTATGGAGTAATTTATCATTGTACTCACCAATTTTGGACACCTATATATCCTTGTTTTGTATATGGAGAATTTTTTTCGTAAGGTTATTTTTGGTCATTAGGAGGGGTGTGACATCGTCCACATGGGGTATGATGTCACCCACATGGAGCATTAAATGCTACTAGTGTGTCCATGTGGGTGACATCACACCCTATGTGGACGATGTCACACCCCTCTAAATGACCTTACTAAAAAAATATTCCATGTATAAAACAAGGGTACATAGGTGTCAAAAAATATTGAGTACAATGATAAATTACTCCATAGTGTGAGCACCCTAACCTAACCCCTATATATATATAATATATATATATATATATGTTTTTTGTTGCTAGGTTCATTTCACCTCTCCTCAAAATTTCACCTCACCATGAGCTATATAACAAAATATGTCGTTTGATGTCCTCAGATTAAATCTGCTCTATCCAGCCTATACATACAAGAGAATAGTTTTTCTGAAATCTTTTTTTATAAAAGATTTTGATATCGATGTATCTGCATGTATTTGACAAAGGCAGGGTGTGTGGCATTCATTTGTACAAAATACCTAATAAAGTAGAAAGATCAAGGTAGGTAGCTTACTAAGCTTAGGTTGATATAAATGGAGACTAGGGTAGTTACCTTCCCAATACAAAAGAGTTGGGAGTGGGAGTTAAAATTTCATAAAAAAAATGAACTAGAAAGATTAGGTTTTTAAACTACACATGCAAAAAAAGTGGGGATTAACTCTTACCCCTTTCCCTATTACCTATATATGTTGTCAAAAATTAGGTGGTCTCTTGAATCTTAAGACATTATTTTGTTTCAGGATCATAAGGAGTGTGCATGATTCTTTTTTTGCTTGGTACTGTTTAGTTCTAAACTTACTCCAACATAAGGTTTTCCCATATATATATAGGTGTATTAGCCAAAAGTGTGGCGCCTCCTCATTTCTCCATATTTTGGATGATCTAGGACCCAAAAATCTGCAAATCCATCTAGGCCCCGAGATTAGGACCCTAAAAATAAGGATTTGAGGCCTAGGATTGCTTCATAATGTCATTTCAATATGTGATCTGGAACGACCATTTCAATGGACCCTAAAGCAGTAAGATTGGTTTGAAAAGCTCCAAATTCATTTTTCTAGGACCAATATGGATTTTCACGGGTTAAGAATGGTTTTGGGGTCCTCAATCCATCAAAAAGATGGATTTTTGTGGGGCAGGGGCACATGGTGTTTGCTTGTGGTTTGCATGTGGGGGGGGCCACATGCTAACTTTACCCTATATAAATTTATGGACAAAGTCCACATAGATAATGTACACAGGCACACAAGTATTGTTCATTTTACCAGATGAAACCAAAAAGATGTACCCCTAACATATATTATGTTTTTAAGAAAAACACTAACACATATAGAACCATCCAATGAAAGCAGAAATCACTATTTCAAACACCTGTGAATGATCAAGGTATGAGTTGAAAGGAGAAAATGAGACAGGTTTTCTTGACACCGTCGGCCGTCTCTCTCCAAATAATACAGGTATTAAATCTGCAGCTGGTCCCTTCTGTACAGTCTTGCTTAGTTGTATTAAAGTATCCTTCATCCTGCGGAAAGTGACCTACACTAAAGAATGAAATGGATGATCTTAATGCAAGATAACAATGGATACTATAGTAAAGCCAGTCACAATTAACAAGAGCAAAGATATTCAATGACGATATACTATTCAATGAAAAATCTGAGGCAGGTGAGTACGATATTAGGTAGGATCTTCATGCGAAGCAATTGTTTACATTGTTTTTTTATGTCTAACTATGAAGTCACAAAATACAAAATGATCATTACTATATCTTTGGAATGGCAAGTAAAAGAACTTTGCCACTCAATCCACCTATAGTTGCATGGAATCTAAAAAAATTACCTTTAACTGGTCAATCAAGGATAGCGTCACACAAAGGGGGGCAATCTGAGGTCCTGCTGTTCCCCCATCTCCACCAACCCCGCTCCCCGGGAGCAAAAATAAATAAATAAGTAAAATGCAAATATATATCACAAGAATCTCTTCTGTAAGCTCTTCAAGGTTACATCAGCCACTTTTGAATCCGTAACCAAGAAACAGAAGATTAAAGGTAAATCAGTAGCTTAATTACAAGAACCTCTAGCTGAATAGGAAATATCAGCCTTAGAGTTGATGCTTCCAAGTTGATGTTTCCAAGCTGTATGAAGTATGAACCATGGAATTTGAAGTGAAGAAAGGAAAAGAGGTGAATATCTGTGGAAGCATCAATTTTTGGAGTGGGGATACCTACCAAAAGCAAGGCTATTCTACACATTGTCTATGACCTACTAAACTGTCTGACTGCAGTAACTTAGGCAGTACCACTTCCACAACACTTGTGGTACGAAAGAATTAATTAGAGGCAAATTAATGCAGTACTGAGGAACAGCCAAAGATCATGCTGCTTTCCACGTCTTTTAAAATTGTAGCACCCCTTTCAAAGACAAAAGCATATAGATTGATTCTCCTGGAAAACCAATACCCCATCCACATTCAGCATTGCATTGCAAAATAGGTCGTAAAATGCTAGAGCACATCTTTCGAAACTTCAAGAAAATTCAGAGAGCACAACTAAACCTATTAGCAGCACTCCGACTTGACTGAGTCAACTCGGACTTGCCCTACGGGCAAGCCCGAGTAGGGGCGAGTTCCATGGCAACTCTCCCCACGCCTATTAAGGAAGAAAAACAAATAAAAATAAAAATGTACAAAAAAAATGGAAAACAACACCATATTGCTTTCAATTACTTTTTTGGATGATTTTGATAGTTGTTAAGCTGATTTGAGAACTTTCAAAATTTTCCCTTTTTTAAAAATTTTCAGAAATATTCATGATCTAAATCAAAATTTTCAATAACCATCTTTTTAAAGAGGTTTTTCATCATTTTAGACCTCTACTGATTTCTAACACCTCTATTATGTTCTTTCTTATTTTTAAGTATTTTAAAAAAAAAATTTTACTTTTTTTTGGGCTTTTTTTATGTTGTACAGGACTCAACCGAGTCACTCAGCTCAGCCAATGGCTGAGTCCCTTGCCTGTGACGAGTTTTTGAACATTGCCTATTAGCCACTTCATCTAGTCCAGTTACATGAAATTCACATTTGAATGTTTTCAAAATCAAGCTCGGCTTGGTACTTGCCTGGTCTACAGCTGCATCTCATCAACTAGGCCACGTCTCTCAAAAGATTAACACAAGATGACAAGACTCATTTTGCATCTTGTAAAACTCATCGAGACTCATCAGGATGCCAAGCTCGATGATTTTTTCAAACACCAGACTTTTTGAACAAGTGGGAACACAATTGACCAGTCCAATGGCCGGTGTGGCCACATTAGTGTGATAGCCAGCCCAAATTTCAAAATGTAAGACCTAAATACCACAGTTTTCATTTTGTTAGTGACCTGATCACTACTTTTTAAAATTTGTGGGTTACCAAAGAGATCTGGAAGTTGCTTGTCACAAATTCATATATTTTTCATGTAGCAGAGTTTCTTTGATAGGTTTCTCTGCCTTCTATTTTAATTTTTTTTATAATAAAGAAGGTTGACTATAATTCGATAGATGGTAATAGTATACAAAATCCTCAATATGGCAACCCACAAGAACCAGATGCTCTATACAAAAAGTAGTTCTAAAAGAAAGTAAAAAAAAAGACGTAAATTCTCTGCCTTCTGATGTTATGAGATAGTATGAGACAATACATTACCATGTTCCAAATCAAGTATACAGTCCCCAATCACCCAAATTGTAGAATAACATGGAATATGAACCTAACTCCAACCAGTTATCCAAATTTTGATGCTGATAGTCAAATGTCCCAGATTCATGGATAACAAAATATGGATTGGAGAGTTACTTGTCCCTAGAAATATGAATATGGCACCTATAAAGGCTGCAATACAAGTGCATGAATTTTATCTTTGTGAAATTACACCAAATGTCTACAAGAGAAGTCAACAGTTCAAATTTTGTAGGTTCAGCTTTCTGAAAGGGAAGAAGGAAGAGGGAGGGAGGCGGCTGAAAAAGAGCAACAAGTCAATGGAACAAAAATGTCATAATAATAAAAAATCTCTCACCTCATTGCCTACCCTTTCAAGACATAGGGGAGCATTAAGACCATCTTCTGGAATATCATCGAAGGCAACAGTAATTGAAGAGTCCTATATGTAATCCACAAATTAGTAAGACCCACTATTAATAACCAGAAGACCAATAAATATGGCCACCACATATTTGCAATTCATTTTATACAAGCAATACAACAAGAGAAAATACCTTTAGACGATAAACAACGCCTTGCCCAAGTGAAGCGGTACCAAGTTCTGCCTTATTAGGCTTTAGAACAACCACATCATGAGGTCCAAACTGCATTAAGAAAAGTTAACATTAAAAAAGCCATTCATGGAAAAAACATAGAATCATAAAATCCTCTTGGGTTTTAATGATTCATTTCTTTATAGGACATGAGAAAGGAGATGCTGCAGTGTAAACATAAGGATCATTCGATTTATCTTCACAATCAGTCCATGAGCGCATGCACTTCTTTATGTGTTTTGAAAGGTGTATGAACACATTTTTAACCCATAGTTGTTGGGATTGAGCATGGGACCTGGAAAGGAAGCGGGGGATCATGAAATGCTAGAAGATCCCTATGGTTGGGAGCATCGTTCATACAATGCCTTTGTTAGGGATCAAAATCCCCAAATGTTCGGGATTGGGATTCCAAATTCTAGGGATCTTAATCCCTACCCTTTGGGATCTTGATCGCAACTTTTTGGGGATCGTACTTCCAACCTTAAAAGTATGTACAGTTTAGGACTATATAAACTCCATAGAGTATGGACCTCTTTATATATAACCAGCAAGCAATGCAACTATACTAAAAGTAAAGTTGTGTTGCTAGCTACCTATAAATCAATAAAATCATCAGTTTGGCTGTTATCTTGGATTTTAAAGTTTGGGATTGAGATCCTTAATAATAGGAATTGGGATCCCTAACATAGGGGATTGAGATCCCAAAATTCAAAAATCGAGATCCCTTGCAAATCCCCTTCTCGGAGCGCTGGAGTGAGATTCCGTAGTGGAATCGCCAAAAGGTTCCGGAAAATGGTAGGCACCCCCTAGGCGCCCGCCATGCCTAAGGTGGCCATCGCCTAGGTGGGTACCTAGGAAGCTGCCCAAACCTCAAGCACCCAGAGGTCACAAACATTAAAAAACATGCACATATGTGCTGCCCAAATGCACATATATGCAGATATTTGTGTCAATTTTGTATTTTTTTTTGCATTTACATGTATTTTAACATACTTTTTTATGCAAATATATATGCATGAATGTTGAAACACATTCAAAACTTCAAATGTATCGAAAATTTTGATTCTAACATAGTGAAAAACATAAACAAGTCCATAGTGTATTAGTGTCTCCACTCCATAGTGGCACAATCCATACTTCACAAATAACCTCACCCTTAAGATAAGGTACACTTTCATATGATCCTTCAAACTTTACAAAATTTTCTTGAATAAAAAAAATTGCAAAACTGCTCAATTTTGGGTTTATTAGGGTTTAGGGAAGATTTTTTTGCACTTTGGGGGGTCTCAAATACCCCCAAAACACCCTTTTCCCTTTGGCATCGGTCAAAAAGACCCAAAATGCCCTCACGGGTAAACTTATCAGCAAAAAAAACCTCAAGCACTGCACACCTGCCTGGAAAGGGCGCCCAGGCTAATCCCCAGCCCAAGCATGGGCAAGGTGGCCTAGGGACCCTTGGGCATGCAAGCACTGGGCGGGCTGTGTTTTTTTTTTTTTTTGAACTAGGATTGCCACCTATGTTGGGAGATCCAGGCAACTATGTTTTAACCATCTACGGAGTAAGAATACGAATGAAACTTTTTGCCATATGTAGCCCCTTTTGGTTCATTGGTGCTTAGGGCCAAATTCCTCACTATGACCATCTTTAACACAGGATGACTCCAATCGTATTGAATTCCAGTGACATATAGGAAGGCCTAGAAGAATTGGGATCACCTTCTTGGCAATGCGACATGGCTCAAAGGGCTTGGTATAACCTTTTTGGTCACTCTGATCAATCAGGTGCTCCTTGAAACTCCCAAAGCACTGAATTGCACTTGGAAAGCAGTGACCTTTTCTAAAGCAATACACTATCCTTTACAGGTGTTTTCTAAAGCAATGCACTCCACCTTTTCCACTCTACCTTTTCTTTGGAGTAGAAAAGATAGAGTGGGTGTGGCAAAGGAAAGCATGAATGTGAGAACAATATCGCATCTCCAGTTAGAGAGAACTTTGGACGGTTAAGGGTAGAGAAACTAGTAGATCTATGCTTGGCCATAAAGGCAGGACAAATATGGAGCTGAGTAATAAAAGGGGTGTTGAAGCATAACTTGGGCCGCAACTTCATAGAAAATCCAAGGCCAGTGCAGGTTGGAGGGTCACTAAGGGGATGGGATAGGAGAAGTAAAGGTAGATTCTATGAGACCAGAAGGTGTCAGAGCCTCAATGATGCTAGGAAAAAGGCACATGTTAGTGGTCCCATGATCTTCATAACCTAGCTTCATGGCGTCATTGTAGTCAAAGGAGTTTGTCTCAATGTGATAAGATGAGAAGCAGGTTGTCCCTCACAGCATAAAGGACTGCAATATTATTGAATCGATGCACCCCTTGGAATCGCTGTCCAACAAGTTTATACAGTAGTTAACTATTGTGATTCATTATTTTTGTGCTCACCAACATAATTCTTTATTTAGCAGTTATTACAGTCCAACAACCAACAATTGACCATCCATATATTGCAGCAAATATTTCGTTGAAAACACATGAAACTCTTATTTTGACAAAATCCAACGAAATGGAAATTTCAGAAGGATCTTTCTGTTACATCCTCTGCATGATCACTTACAAAAGCTATAAAGTAGTAGTTTTAAAATTTAGAACTCCAGACTTGCCAGCATTGACTTGACATGCAAACCTATCTAGTCCAAAAACAAGCAAATTTACAAGGCAAGTCACAAGTCTTTTAAAATTGGTGGATGTTATGAATTTATGATAAAAGTAGGGCTTACAGTATAAAACTCGCCAAATAAACTTGGGCTAGACCAATTTGAACCCAGAGCCGCATCCAAGTTCAAAGGAACATTAGCTTCACAAAGATTTCTTTCAAGGGAAATGCAAATGGAACAATCAAATAGGAGAAGGTTCTTGGAAGTTTGACTTGCAAACACTAACTATTCTTGAAATTTCTCAGTCACATGTGCCTAGAGATAACTCAATGGAACTCACACATCTTCTCAATACTAACACAAGACAAATCGTCAAAAGAAGTTTTGAAGGACAAAAGATTTTCCATTTATAAGACTATTTTGGCATCCCCACCTTGTGAGCTGGAAGAACATCCCCCTTATTTGGTTGCAACACAAGAAGAACTTTCCCCATAAGCCCTGTCTAAAGCCAGGACAGAATAAAAATTATCTCAGAGTCAATTAAGGTAAAAATACATCAAGAAAATACACAACGAACTTTTAAGGAAAAAATGAAATACTTGAGCATCTGAACATTTCAAATTAAGAAGGGCCGAGCCTCTCTTCTGAGCTATTTCTATGTTTCGTGTTGCATTCACGTCCATAGATGCCGATATTTCAGCTTCCTAACAATGTGAAAAAAAAAGAAAAAGATCAAGCAGGTAACATATACCCAGATTCAATAAACTGGAGAATGACAAAGGGCTTGATCATCACATAGCTCAAATAGGCATTCACCAAAGCTAAAGAAACAAGTATACCATGAGATTCCAATCTAACCACAAAAATAATAGTATAAAGACGCATATTCTTCTCCTTCCATATTCATGTTAACAAGTTAACCAACGAAACCGGTAAGCGAAGTCATGGCCAAACACAAAATGATACTAGTTTGCTACAATGAGAATACAAATACCAAACAGAAGGTCTCCCAATCTAAAAACTCAACTTAAGATAAGTTTTGTGTGAAGTCACTCTCACTGAAGACTGCCCCCCAGTATGAACTATCCATGAATTTCTCCGATAACAAGCATAAGTTCCAAAAATCAACAAATTGACATCCAATCAAATGGATGAACTGCATTTATCGATGTATTCACAACCATGTCGATGAAGATCCAAGCATGGCTCCAGAATTAAGCAGGCCAAGCCAAAAGTTGATTTTTTGCAACAGAATTTGTGCACCAACTGTTAAAGAAACCAGATATTCGTCCTATAAACGCCAAAAATACCAGACATTTCATTTAAACAATAAACAAATGTTCCATCCCTCTCAAAAAGACCTATGTCATTTCAAAGCAATTTACGCCACAAAGCAAGTTCTTAGAAAAACACCAAGTTGGATTCCTAAAGAAGAGAATGCAAAGTCCCCAATTGAAATGAGGGTGTACCATGAAGCATATTTGCTTGCTATTCACAATAAAACGAAATATTTAACATTTCTAAGATAAATTCTTCAACCGCTTTATTCAATAAATTATTAATATTACCAGTGTATGAATAGAGAGAGGAGAGAGAGAAACTACTAGAAACACAATCGCTCAAAACACAGAAAAAGAAAAAGAATTAGGGATTTAGAAAGAGAAATAAGGTATCACCTTTTCCATGTCAATAAGAGGCGCCATTGTGGAGACGAATTGTTGCAGAGAAATTGGAGGCGATCTCTTTCCGCCACCGAACTCCATCGCAACACTATCTGACCACCCCAACGAAGGAGAGTGCGAGGTTTACAATCTAGAGCGGAGGTTCGACTATGCCCTCTCTCCCCCATACGATGCCATTTTTTACTTTAGTAAGGACAGGAGTAATGTGCTCTCATTTAGATTTTGCCAAAAGATATTATACTCCCGCTAGAGTATACTGTCTAATTACTCCCTAAGGTAAAATCTTACTTTTAATTAACTTAAACAGTATGCTTACTGGTCCTCACCTGTCCAATTTCATTTAAGCATATAATAAAAAGGAAAACTATTAGGTCGTCTATCAAATAACCTAGTTAGTATGAAATGGGTGACTTACTCCCTCTGGTGAAAGAGTTATTTACCTACGAGACGATTATTCTGAGTATAATTGGGTATTGAATTTTTAGATAGACCGGTTTGACACCCAAAAATTGAATAATCTCTATTTTTAATCATGGGAGGGATATTTATCACAAGCATATGGAAAGGGTGCGGTCGAAAGTAGTTCGGAAAGATATGAGTACTTATGCCCTCACTTAAAATACGATTTTTAATAGAAAAAAATAGTTGACTAGGATTCGTGTAGTACCTTTAATAGAAGAAAATGTTTGATTAGGATTCGTATCGTCTATTCCAATTTATTAAAAAAAACCTATGATGATGATGACGATGATATGCAAAGTGCATTTTTTTTTCTTTCTTAAATTGGTCTTAAGGTTGAAGAGGTTATGTCATCAAATTTTTGGATCCTATAGATATTTCTATTATTTTTAGTTTTAAAAAATATTTGTGTATATTTCAAAATAAAATAGTATTTTTCATGGTTTTCTATAGCTTTATTTTGTAGAGAGAGAAATGTGTAGTTTTTAAATTCTACATTGAATAATAGAGTGTGGATTGAGTAATATTCAAGTATAAACAATCCCATGCATTGAACTCTTTGCAACACTATCGGACCATCACAATGAAAGAGTGTGAGGTTTAAAATCCAAGAGGAGGTCCACCCCCTCTCTCCTATACAATGCCTTTATTTATTTTTTTAACCTTAGTAAAGCGTAATGTGCTCTCATTTAAATTTTGCCTAAAGATATTATACTCTCGTTAGAGTATAATATCTATTTACTCCCTCAAGTAAAATCCCAGTTTCAAATAATTGAAACAATATGCTTACTGGTCCTTATCTGTGTATTTTCATTTAAGCATAATAAAAACGAAAGCTATTTGGTCGTCCATCAAAGGACTTAGTTTGAAATGGGTGACTTACACTTCAGGTGAAAGAGTTATTTATGACCCTCCTTGGAAATACTATATGATTATTTTTAGAATAAGTGGGCATTGAATTTGTAAATAGATTGGTGTGACACCCAAAAATTTGGGGTCATACAAATTTCAAAAATATGATTTTCTAGAGGTGTGGCTGCATATATATATAT